TCTTGAAGTATATAAGGAGTTACATTATTGCGGTTAGTAAATTTAGAACATAGATATTCGGGTGCAAGGTTATTTAAAGATTTGAAAACCATCAATGCTTTTTGAAATTGGCGTTGTTGGTTTAGATCATCCCACCCCAGCTTTTCCAATAAGCTATTGGCATCAGCGTCAAAGTTGGAAAAGGTCAACACCCGCATTGCACGGTTTTGAAGTTTTTTAGATAAAGTTTTCCCACAATTTCCCCACACGACATTACAATAATCAAAATGTGGTTGTATTACAGCTTGGTAAATAAGATGCAATGTTTCCAATGAAACAAATAACCTTAACCGCTTAATAGCACCAATGCCAGAAGCAATTTGTTTTGTCATTTTATTGATATGACTACTCCAGGTAAGATTTTCGTCTAATAAGACACCAAGTGATTTTGTTGTAGAAACTCGGTCTAAAGGAATTCCATTTATTTCAAAAGAAGGATTGTCAGAAAGAGTACTTAAACGTTGTCTCAACCCAATTAACATATACTCAGTTTTAGTCATATTTAAAGTAAGTTTATTTGATATTAACCATTCATTAATGTTTTCCAAGTCTTGGTTAAGATGAAATTGAATAGTGTTTATATCGCTACCAGAATATGTAAGATTAGTGTCATCTGCATACATTCTGGGATGAGAATTAGATAAACAATTTGGTAAATCATTAATAAATACCAGAAACAGGAGCGGTCCTAGGATCGTTCCTTGAGGAATTCCGCACTTAAGACTACATTTTTTTGAAAGTGACCCGTTAACAAAACATTTCTGCCTACGGTCTTCCAAATATGACTTAAACCATTTGTAGGCAACTCCGTGAATTCCATAGTTTCTGAGTTTAGACAACAAGATCTCATGGTTGACCGTATCGAAAGCCTTTTTCAGGTCTAGAAATACCACGGCATTAATATTGCTGTGGTCAATATTGTAAGCCCAACTATCAGTGGCCTCAAGTAAGGCCGTAGCCATTGAATGCAAAAAACGAAACCCCGACTGGTGTTCGGATAACAAATCATGTTCTAACATGTATGCATAAAGTTGATGGTAGATTATTCGTTCAAAGGCCTTGGCCATTACTGAAATCACAGAAATTGGGCAGTAGTTATTCACTTCATTCTGTGTACCTTGTTTAAAGATTGGAGTAACTTTGGCACATTTCCAATCTTCAGGAAATGTACCCAATATTAATGAAAGATTAAAAATATTGGTTATGGAACTAGGAATAAGATCAGCACATTCTCGAACAAGTCTGGCTGAGATCTGATCAAGACCGGTTGCTTTTGATTTGCATAGTTTGCTTAACATTTGCATAGTTTGTCATTGACAATCTGCCATGTCTTTTGAGAACTGCCACTGTGCTGCATAAATGCATTTCTATAATAAGACTCTTTAGCGGGTTTAATTTCCTTATTTACAATATTTTGCAATCTTCTAAAATTGTCCCAAGCACCAGGGACAGTAAAGTGTATACTTTTATTTTGGCTATGTCACGATCATGCCTACATTTTTTAAAATCAGATGTTATCCATGGAGAGTTCTTCGATTGAATACGCTTAGTACGTATTGGAGCATGTTTATCTGCTATAGTTAAAAATTTACTTTTCCATTCTGCCCACATTAGATTAGGGTCTTGAATGTTGGATAAATTGTAACTCCAGTCTTGAGATGAAATATCACTACGGAAGTTTTCCCGATTAAACTTCTTAAAATTTTTAAAGATAATTTGCGGTAGACATAGATTAGGCTATGGTCACTTATACCGCAATGCAAGACTCCTGAACAAACTACCCTGTCTGGATAGTTAGTGTAAATTAGATCGATCAAGGTGGAAATTGTTTTTGTAATACGGGTATGCTCATTGATTAACTGCTGAAGAATGTATTGGTAATGCTCGACAGCAGATGGGTATTGCTGTCATACTGAGTACTATTGTTAGCTAAATTACAGTTAAAATCACCCATTAAATAAAATTCGACATTTTCTGCATCAAGTCGTCCGATAAGGGACTCAAAAGAAGTAAACAACTCAACAGGTGAATTGGGTGGTCTATACCAGTTGACAAGAACAAATGGTTTAGATTGAGGTTTTTGAATTTCAACACATAAATTTTCCAAAAATTTTCCAAATTTTTAAACTTTAAATCCTCACGTATTGAAAAATTAATAGTGGTTCTAATATAGAAACAAACACCTCCACCATGTCGGTCTCTATCTCGGCGAAGTATTTCATACAGAGGGATATGTATTTTGCAATCATTAATCGAATTATCAAGTTTAGTTTTGTTGATTGAGTTTGAAACGCTAGTTTCGCTAGTTTGAAACCACGCTTTGTGGGAAAGGGTGGTATCGATTTCGTATTCAAATTGTTGCTATCGGCTATAGGTGTTTCAAAATTGAGATTAGATAAATTATTCGAGGAACTCTGATTAGGCACAGCATTCAAGGAAAATACATTTCAATCCTCCGATTTAATTACTATAGTATCTACAAAGTTTTTTAAAAATGTACAATTACCTTCATGATTTAAATGAAGTCCTCCTCTGTTCAAATCAGCGAAGCTAATGTTATTATGTTGAATAAGTGTCCAGCCGTTACTTTGGCAGTGTTTTCGGAGTTGTTTGTTGACGGTTTTAACTTGATCATTCATGTCCCGTCTTGCAACAAGTTCGGAAATGATAACTTTAGTTTCAGAGGTCTTTTCTATTTCACTTGCAAGACTAACAACCCTCTCGGCAACCACGGTTGACTGTAATTTTTCAGATCGTTATTTCCACAATGGAGAACAATTCGATTTGGTGAACGGTCTATTGTTGGCTTGATATAATGTCTCATATCTTCAGATGTAGCAGCCGGAAATGATTTTACATTGATGCATTGATGAAATACTTAAAAATACGTGAAATATATCGTGTCAAGACTATATGTAGTTATCATAAATGCGAATGATCGATCGACTTATATTCATCTATCCACTTACGCAGACTGGGTTAACATATTAGTCAGCATGGCTTCACTATGCTTACAGCAACAGTGACTGACAATTCGTATCCGTAAATACTGGCATAAGGCACAAAACGAACAGATTGGTATGAGAGGCAATTATAGCCGAATTGTTTTGTACTATATAGGTAGCTGGGATATCTCAAAGGATCGATTCAAGACTGGTCGAAAAAATTCATGAGTTGGTAGAAGATGGCATTCGACGAGTGAATGAGGCTAAACGTCACCTTAGAGTTCTCGTCAGAGATAGCTTATTTGTTGGATCTTCAATGCCTCCTAAATCAAACAAACGATTTTTTCCAAGTGCGAAAACGATAAGAAATCACATGAACCTAGCAATAATAAAACAGCAACATTTTGCTCTAAGAGAGTCATTGGAAAATACTTTTGAACCGCATCATATTGAAGAATAAGATTTTTGTATGGTTTATTAGATGTTATCATGTTTTATAAATAAGCTGTCCATTTATGGCCTATATTTTACAGTCATCCGTCATAAAATCATTTGAAAGTATTGGAAATTTGCGAAGCTTTGCCTTCCCACCTCGGAAACTGAATTTCTGCCACTGATACTGAGTGATAGCGCCTATATATACAGCCGCATATAAGTTAACCCTTGCTTAACTAGTGACATGTATCTAACTATTATAGAATGCTTGGTATTAATCTGTGATTTCCATCGAGAACAAGCATGGGGCAGATGGCTCTCAAGAAAGACCAATGGCATGGCTCATTTGAAAGAAAAAGCGTTAGCGGCTATGAGAAAGATTGCCTGCGCAAGGAGCACAAGGTTGGTTTTGCTAAAAAATTGCAACAAAGCATTTTGATCAATAACATTAGATTGGGCACTTGGAAAATTCGACGTCTAAACTAAACTATCATGTCTACGAATCAGTTGTTTTGCGTACCAGACTCATTCGTAAAATTCCTTTTATAGCGCTGGGTTTGGGCTTACCGCAGAGACAGACTGCTTGTTACGGTTAACACAGACAATGGCATTGAACGTCAAAACTTGGCATTCAAATACGATTATTTGGTCGACTGGCATCGTGCATCTACTCTCAGTACAATGTTGACAATTCTTGTAGAAGAGTTCATACCCGAAAGCTACGACAGGTACAAGCCTGATAGCCAGTGGCGGCGTGAGAGTTTGTGGCGCCCGGGAGAAAAAGTAATTTTGACGCCCCCCCCCCCATGTGGATTTGCATGTGATGTCCTGCATTGAGCAAATAAAGTACTCGCTGTGTAATAAAATGGATCGACAAATGTCAAATATGGTCCATGATATATCCACTTATAAAATATACACCGTGACAGTAATGATAAAAGGACTTATTTTTCACCCTGCTCGGTTTCCTTTGTTCTTATCGGGGAATATATTCAATATTCCACTCTAATCAATTTCCGTTTAATAATCCCCTCTAATATTCACCTGCAATTAATAATCCCCTCTAATATTCACCTGCAATGTCTTTGCAGCACAAAAAAGAGAAAAAAAACAACATAACGAAGGCAATATGGCATTAAGAATTATTTCTATTCTGTCTCATGAACGCAACCTCGCAATGTGAAAAATAAGTACGTTATTTTGAGGCACCTCGGGGATATGTGTTTATTCACCTCGGCGCTGCGCGCCTCGGTGAATAAATCACATATCCCCTCGTTGCCTCAAAATAACCTATACATAATTTAAACTGGTGTACTGGCGCCTGACGGCGCCCCCCTCTTCTGGCGCCCGATGTTTATACAGACTGTTCAACACCTTCACGATACCAATTACCATAGATCGCAGAAGAAACATATAACAGTCTAGCTGCTATGCAGGCTAGATGCCATCATCGGTACAGAATGGTGGTAATATGATACATTAGAATAATTAATAAGCTAAAGTCTTGATAAAATGCGATCTGGGAGTACTTTAAATTACTTCAAATACGCCGACACCATTACTTTTGTTTGTACACGGAATGCTAAATAGTAAACATGTTTCAAAACCTTCAAGATGTCATCTTCAGTACAGTATAATATATGTGGTGGTAATATGATCTATATTATGGATATAGCCAAAAGTTGAAATGTGGTGAACTGCCAAATGTGATGAGGTAGCTGACGTTTCGAGCGAAAGCCCTTCATATTCTCTGATGAAGGGGCTTTCGCTCGGAACGTCAGCTATCTCAACACAATTGGCAGTTCACCACATTTCAACTAATGGCTATATACTTCACATTGCCTATGCAGCACCACAGCTTTTTTATATTATGGATAAATGTGCACGATACACATAATTGTATTTTCCTAAGGTGGTAATTGACTAACAGGGAGCAGTTGCAAAAAATGCAACTGATAAAGGTGTGTTTTATGTACTAGTTAAATATGAGCGGCTGATTTGTATGGGCAATTACAATGGCGAGCCGAAGGCGATCTTTGTAATTGCCCATACAAATCAGACGCGAATATTTTAACATACTTAAAAAATGAACAATAGAGTAAAGCTTATTAGTATATTTTTAACTTTTATAAAAATCAATTATATGAAGTATTTAAAGTGCGACCAATAGCGTTTTATCATATTTAAAATGCAAGTCGCATGTACGCATTTGTATACCCCAATTAGGCAATAAAGGTCAACTTCCCGGTCAGCTAATCTTTAATTAACAGAGTTAAGAATTACTAATTAGTCTTCAAAAACTCAATAATTCATAGAAATCATTGATAATAATATCACGTGCATGCATGGGTTTTATATCTGACAAAAGGCGAGCTCATTGGTATTCTTTATATAAAATTGCCTCCTAATTAGTATTCTTTATATAAAATGTTCTACTATTTTCTTTAAGTGTCATTTGCGTGGTCAGTATTAATTAACCTCTAATTAGAAAGGCGGTAATTATCAACCTATCTCCATTATCTCCGCAATTGTCAAGGTTTTTGGTAGGTTTGTGTACAAGAGACCTTATCAACATTTGAAAAGAACGATCAATTGAACACATGGTGGTAACATGAAAAATTTCCGGGAAGAACAGCAAATATAAATTTCCGTTCCTGCCTTCTTGATAGCGTGCTTTGGTCTTCCCCAATGGCCCCGAATACCGACATCTCAAAAAAGGCTGACGATATATAGGTTATATATGAGGCGGGGGGGGGGGTGTGGCGGGCGCCAGTAAAAGCTGTCAAGAATAGAGAATAGAATTACACGGTCGCTTGAGGGTATGGATTTAATTTTCTCGTGTCAAAAACAAATATTTCACCACACGAACATAAAATTCATGTCTTCGAGCCGTCGTGTCATATCCTCTAAATTTCATATATAGTCAATTAATCTTATGTACTTTTTAATGCAGGTATGTCGAAAACAACGCTAAATCATCCAGTCAATACCGCCAGTATAATCAGACAATACCGCGGTATCTGCATAATCGCCCGCCATGTGTTGTTGATCATTGCATGGAAAGATTACAATTTGCATATGATATTAAAGATGAATGCGTTAAAATCGTAGATCAACAAAGATTTCTGTTCCTCGTTAAAAGTCAGGACATCAACAGACCAGATCTGTGGTATAATGTATCGTTTGGTATCGAGACAATGCCATCCTGTGGGATTGGGAAAGAAATCGACTTCCTTGCAAACACTTTCTGGCTGTATTTTCACATTACACTAATTGTGGATTTGATCAGTTATCTTCAGTCTATAAAGATTCGCCATTTCTTACTCTGGACCAAGATGTGGTCTTTCGAGGCAAAGCCGTTCCTAGTTTCCAAGAGATCCAAGGCCAAGAAGAAATGGAACTGCCAAAAATACCTGCAATTTGTGAATGTAATACGTCAAAGTTAATGACTTCACTCGAAACATCCAAACAACAAGGCAGTATAAATTTAATTGCTTATTTTTTGTTAATTTTTCTGTATAAATATAATGATTTTATTATGAATTCCTCGTTAAACACGATTATATCTGTAATTACTAATATATTTCTCAGAATGTTATTACATGCATAATTTTTATCCATATAAATTGGAATTTTTAATTTTTAATTTTAATTTTTAGGCAGCATAAATTGGAATGCAAAATGTAAGGAAGGAGTAAAGCAAATAACGTTGTTACTTCACGTCGTCGACGATAACGATGCCCTGAAGGATGCATACTCTTTGGTTACTAGTTGTATTGAAGTGCTGAACAGAGCTACTAATAAGGAAGAAGGACTTATTTTCGAGAAAGGTGGAGAGAGTTCAAAAACTCATGGTCAAAAGAAGTATTTGCAGACTAAACACTTCAAGGACCTTCCTAAACCAAGACGGAAGGGGAAGACATCATGTCATGTTGGAATCAAAGCAGAGGAACTAAAGCGAAATTTGACTATACAAGATATTGCAGACCAGGAAGATCAAACTCCTAAGAAAAAGTGTTGCACCGTTATAGAGACAGAAATTGCTCCCTTGGATTTATCGCACAAAAACAAAATATGAAAACTACAAGAAAAATATATATATATATATTTGACATGGATTAGTATGTCTAAATCGATCGTCTACACTTCTCAATGTCGATAAATATTTTAGGAACTTTAAAGTCTCATACGTTAAATTTGGCGTTCTTCGTTAAAATACAGTTTCGTAGGCTTAATGCGTAACTACTGAACAATTGATAACTCAACCTTCATACACAACGAGTATGTAAACTACTATATTATATCCAAGTCAAAAAAGTTTTTCAATGTGATTTAACTTCTTCTTCGACCTTCTGTCACACTCAACAGTTTCGTTTTTTGAAAGGGAGTCCTGCAGGAAATCTGCCTGCCGTCTCCTCTTTTTTGGTTTTGGTTTAGGTTTGGAATTGTTATTTTGCCCTTCTGGGAGTTGGGTAGGCATCACTGGCATGTTATTTTGCCCTTGTGACAGTTGGGTAGGCATCACTGGCATGTTATTTCGCCCTTCTGGCAGTTGGATAGGCATCACTGGCACGTTATTTTGCCCTTCTGGCAGTTGGGTAGGCATCACTGGCATGTTATTTTGCCCTTCTGGCAGTTGGGTAGGCATCACTAGCATGTTATTTTGCCATTCTGGGAGTTGGGTAGGCATCACTGGCATGTTCTTTTGCCCTTCTGGGAGTTGGGTAGGCATCACTGGCATGTTATTTTGCCCTTCTGGGAGTTGGGTAGGCATCACTGGCATGTTATTTCGCCCTTCTGGCAGTTGGATAGGCATCACTGGCACGTTATTTTGCCCTTCTGGCAGTTGGGTAGGCATCACTGGCATGTTATTTTGCCCTTCTGGCAGTTGGGTAGGCATCACTAGCATGTTATTTTGCCATTCTGGGAGTTGGGTAGGCATCACTGGCATGTTCTTTTGCCCTTCTGGGAGTTGGGTAGGCATCACTGGCATGTTATTTTGCCCTTCTGGGAGTTGGGTAGGCATCACTGGCATGTTATTTCGCCCTTCTGGCAGTTGGATAGGCATCACTGGCACGTTATTTTGCCCTTCTGGCAGTTGGGTAGGCATCACTGGCATGTTATTTTGCCCTTCTGGCAGTTGGGTAGGCATCACTGGCATGTTATTTTGCCCTTGTGGCAGTTGGATAGGCATCACTGGCACGTTATTTTGCCCTTCTGGCAGTTGGGTAGGCATCACTGGCATGTTATTTTGCCCTTGTGGCAGTTGGATAGGCATCACTGGCACGTTATTTTGCCCTTCTGGCAGTTGGGTCAGAGTAGGCGCCGATGTTTCCATGGCCACTTCTAGAAAGTAAATTTTACTGAATGACCCCCATCAAACAAGCAGTTCAGTTCGAGATGGCCCGCACCGCTCGGAACAAGGTCTCTAATTGGCTTAGGTTATTTTATAATTTTCAATATTAGAGCCATATATCATAAGAAGCGACCTTGTATTACAGCATTTATAGTACACCCAGTTATGCCTATGGTCTATTACAAATACTGCAATCTGATATTGTATTTTGGCGTACAACGGTTGTGGAAAATGGCAGAACGTAAGTTGCCAAAATCCACAAAATTTTGTTTATGCCATAAAAAACTACTATTTCTTTAGCGTGGAATAACACTGTGCAATTAGCCAAATCCTGCATGCTAGTTGCCTCGACAACGAGTTGCCTATTTAACAATTAGTCCAAGATGTCTATGAGCGAATAGTCAACAATGAGTGCCAGGTTTGTTGTCATTTCCCCTGACTAGACAACGTAATTCATTCGTGACAATTCGTGATAGATCACAAATAGACAACGGTTGAGTAGCCAATCAGAACACAGGACTCAGGCTTCGCCATCATTGACAACATGGGGGGGGGTGGGCGTAGGGAGCGGCAGCCCCCCAGTTTCAGGTTGGGCAAACAAACCGCCCCCCTAATTTTTTCCTTCCCGTACGCCCATGATTGACAACTCGCTAATTAACAATTCTTAGGTATAATACTTGCCGCAACACCTCATGCATATTAATTCGCATATATTATTAATAACTAGCCAATGCCACCTACCGTTCGATATATTTTCCACTGCAGTATCCTCTACCTTGAAGTCGAACACGTTCTTAACTGAATATAAGAATATTGATTTGTTAATCCTACAATTATTTTAAACTTTATAATTACCATAAGGCCCGGGTCAAACGTCGTTCCATTTCATGCGCCGAACCTAATAGTTGTATTAAGTTCTACAAGTGTGACCGTTTGACTTGGTTAAGTTCGGCAAAATCAATTAAGTGCGGTAGATCTGATTAGGAGCGACTTGTCATGTCGCATTATGCGACGCTGGAGTGACTGCAGGACAAACGTCGCTCTTCTCATGCGCCGAACCTAATGCATAAATTATTTTAATTTATTTTTGCCCTGAAATTCAGGCTGGGCATGCGCAAATAAATATGGCGGCGAAAATGAAAGACCAAGAATGCCGGCTCATGCTACAGAGGAACAAAATGTATTTGTATAAATTGCTGTATGCCTGTATGCAATCTATGTTCATTTCCCGGACAAGTTGTTTTACGTTCTAGTTTGTGTCGTATACGGGAAAGAATGTAATCAAACGTTTTTCTGGATACTCGAAAAGTTCAGTTCATACTAACAGCCACTAAGCAGTGTTTCTTAGCAGCCTTCTGCATCTACGGTATCGAAATGTCGAATTCAGGTATTGTAAAGCCGTAGCCGCCATTAAGCATGCTTGAAGTATCAATCTTTTGCGCCGAAGGGCTAATACCATTCCCGCATCTAAGAGTTTCCGACGTCTTTTACGCAGTCGCTCTTTAATATTTTTTTTTCAACAGTTCTTTCATACCATGATAAGGCAACATTTCGAATTGTTTATTTGTTTTTTCCCGCCGGTTCGCACCAGCGATTTATAAAGTGATACTTCTTGTAAAATAATAGTATGAATTAGGTACGACGTATTAAGTTTGACGTTTGACTCGACGCCGCTCCATCATAGGTTCGGCGCATGAAAAGTTCGACGTTTGACCCGGGCCTAAATTATCATATTATAAACTTTGAATTGATTTTGCATTGTCAGCTTTCATTTGATGATATCTCGACGCGAACCACGTTGTACACAGTATATTTTCTAGGCTGGAAAAGCATGTATGTATGTAATAAATAGGTTATCAAACTCAGGATGAGGTGATATCAGTTTTATCGCTTTCAGGACGATAACATAAATGTCCCTCGTTCGCATCGCTCTCTCACTTGTTGGCATTTCGTAATTTTGTCTCCCAAGTGATAAAACTCGGATATGACCTCATCCCTCATACATAGGGTAACCCCTACGTACTACGTGTAATCAAGAGATACGTTTGAACGAATATGATATACGACGACGCAAAAATTGAGAAGAAAACACATGACATTATTACCACTGTCGAGTTGTTGCTTCAACTGCTCATCCAAAAAGGATCTCTTCACATGAACACCGACGTACTGCCTTGCATGGCCACGCAGACGTATAGATGTACAGCAAACTCGATGTAGTTTTATGAAATTTTGCACTTTGGTGCCATTTATTTTTCCAAGTCCAATGAATTGGATAGCTGATGGAACATGAAACCCAAAAGTCAAACCGCATCCACATATATTCTTTGTTCAAATTCTGGATTGAAAAACATCTTCGCCTGCAGATTTGTTATAAGGACATACGAGTTTGAGTAACATAATATAATCACGGTTATATAGTAAACAGATATATGAAAATTCCATAGTTTAACTTGTTTATATAGGTAATTCTATTTAAAACAAAAGTACCAGATACTTTCTCTGGGTTTTCTGACGCCTTTTTGACGATTTGTAGTGTTATCGCTTTAACGTCATCCTCGTGTAGGTTATCTACATTTATCGCAAAAAGACAGAAAAATCAATTGTTATTTAGCAAGGTTTGTTTCAATGATCGAGCTACACATCAAGCAACAATTTGTCAATTACAATCCGGCAATTGTCTAATCCACTCGGAATTTAATTACCAGCCACCACCGATAGTTGATTCTTATAATAATTTGTGACATTTCAACAAACAAATTTTGCTTTTCAATACAGTATGTCAGGAATGTCTCATTGGTCAGGGAGCCTCGTTCCAGGGAAATATAAGCCAATTACACTTCGTCTTGACATTAGGCATGACAGTGAGGCTTCCAGCCAAAGAACGTATTTGTGACGTAATTACATCGAAAAGGTGTGTTGGCCATCGTAAGCCTATTTTGCCCATGCACATCATACGCATTAGCAAATTGAAAAAAAAAATTAACCGAAAGCGCAATACAGCGTGGCATTGAATTGATTGCCTTAGTACACTTAGCCACTGCACCACTGCAATAAAACATGTACATGGCTCAAGTGAGCACATGTGAGCAACGAATATATTTATTGTCCAAATTATTCAAAGCATCCATTCAAATGTGTTCATGCATCCCATTAGTTAAAATACTAAGGACGTCGCTATACTCGGAATGGGGGGCTGTAACGTCCCCAATAATCCTAGCATTGAAAAACGGTTGGTCAATGGCTCAGATGCAACTTCTGTTGTTTTTATTTAGACACGCTGCGTAAGTCCTGCTGTTTCCTTACCTTTGTCGTGCTGAAAAGAAGCAATGAAAAATTGCTTTTGCTCCTGGAATCAATTTCGCGTGATTCTTCTATCACCTCCAGACATTCCGTATAGGTTTCATCTCCGGCGGCTTGCTGGAAAGCACTACGTAATTCAATTATGACTCCTAAACTCTTCATTACGTTTTCCAACGCTGCTTTTAATTCAGTCTGCATAGCAAGACTTTTCTTCAGAGAACCCTTCTTAGACACTAATTTCTCGAACGGAATTACGGCAATCCTTGAAAACGCTCTATATCAAGATAGATAAATTTACCTGAATGCTGAACATATATTTTCTCTAAAGTTAATAATCAATCGAAAGAGGCCGCTGATCGATCGTTTGCGTTCGCTAGTGCGACGCTTTAGTTCGGACTTCGGTAGTAATACCGACAACTCAGGTAAATTAAAATTTCTCCTTGTTCGTTCGAGAAATAACAATCATACACTCAAAGGAGTGTTTCATCATAATTTATTATGTCGAAACACCGAGAAGTAACGTTGGTTAAAGAAAAATAGACAAAAAACAAAGTACTTGGCAAGACTATGCAACTACTTATGTCTATAAATACCTATGTAGCTTCTCTGGATCCTTTTTTGCACTATTTGCAATTGCTGATGGATTCATAGTAACAACAGGAACTGTTCTTGCATTTATTTGTTTTGGTTGTTCTTTTTCTTTCTTTGATTGCTTCTTCTTACTAGACTAATGGTAGTGAACCGATATTGGCGGTGTCATTCACAACAGATATATAATTGTGTTCCGATAGTTTATACAAATACAATTCATGCATGGCAAGCTCCAGGTAATTAAAAATGATTATGGATTGTACATTTATGTAATCGTAATATTTACTTATATACACATATAAATACATATTTTATTAAATGTAATCCTGATGAGTTTGCCTTGATTAAATAAAATGTTATGATCATATGTTATCCTTAGAGGTTGGCATGGGGGGGCACAGTTGCACCCTCGGGGGACTCTATCCCCCTGTGAGGGAAAATATGGCAAGTGCGTTAGGCGACAAGTCGAGCAACAGTCAAACAAAAACCTCAAGGACTGCACTTTAGCAAATCTACATTACACAAATGGTGAACACAATAATTATCCCTCTCCCTGTACTGCATGCTAAATATGCAACACCAATATTAGCCATCCATTGGGGAATCCTTGGCAACATGTACAGATGGAAACTTGAGGCAGCTGACAACTTTAGCCATAATAAAGTACAAAACATTCTGCTTATAAGATTATCTTGGATACTCACGATTTCAAAAATCCATTCTCAAACTGCAGTATGTATAGATATTGAACATAGAATTCTTAAAACTAATTACCCTGTTAAAGGTCGCCACTGACAACTTTTCTAGTATGGAAAAATCAGCAGCATCATCCCACCAAAATGGTATAGTCTGTTGGCTGATCAATTCCATTGCCCCTGTAAGAGTGCATTTTAACAAAATACACAATATTTATTTCAATTTGTTTAGTAAATTTTGCCACAGCTGGAAAATGTCATAATGAGAAATATTCTTCATTCAGACATTAAGTTTTAACTGTGTTTTACGATGTATTAACAAGTGTAAAAATTAATTAGGTAATGATGCAAATTGCTCATCGTTAATGTACATAGACACCAGCTGCAGCCCCCAATAATTTGTGAAATAGTCTGTAAACTGATCAGATCATGGTATTTACGTAATTTCATAAAAGAAAAATAAATGTATAACCATTTATTTACCGCCTATTTTTTCATCTTGACCGATAACAGCCATTGCACATCGTACAGCTGTGGATTTTCCAGTTACTGGTTCACCATATGCCATAATTATTGGTATGCCATCATATAAACTTGTTAACAGTTCAAAATGAACAGCTAAACCAACACCTCCCAACACAAACAAAGCTGATGCAAAGTTTTTTTCCCATGTACCGTTTCTGGACATCAATGAGTTTAATCAATGCTTCACCTGCATCTAAGCTTCCTAATGATAAAGATAAAAACTATTTTAAAGTAATTAGCCACAGAATATGTGAACACCAAATTCATGTTTCTGAAAATGATTATAAAGAAATTAGGTAAATACAATATAAGATGACACCATACACATGAAGTTCCTGTTATAAATGTCAACATTTGGTCTACATAACCTAGCTAACAAATGGTGTAAATTTTAGCAACATTTTTAAATTTGAGAATTCCCTTAAAACGTACTAGGTCAAACTTTTTTTCTCAATTTTTTTAATTTCTTTTTTTTCTGCCTTATTTAACTCTTAAAAGTTAGACTGGTTAGTGTTTGGGATCGGTATAAAATCTAAAGTACTTTAAAAAGGTTTTAATAATTATTAATTTAACCTGTTTTATCTGTTTGAATATTGAGTTGCGAAATCAACCGGTGATAATCCTAATTGTGATCGCGGGCACTGACAAAGAACGCCCGGGTGTAGTAAAATCTTATATACACACTCGCCTCATAATGCTTATATATAAATCAGATAAATCGTCAAGGAGCGTGTTATTAATACTTTGTCAACTCGAAGTCTTGTATTCATACTTGCTCATTCTACTTTGAAACAAGACAATAAATAAGAACATTTGCACTAAAGGACAGTGTTCGCAGTGTTTTTTTTCCGCCATATCGACTAATGACTTTACTAAAATAAAATGATGCGAGCGTGATAAACCCAAAAAATATTTCCTAAAAATATCAAATAAATACAGGCATAGAATAAAATCAAAATTGTTGTTGTGCTGCATACTCTCATATATTTTTTTTCATAAAAAGCAGTAATATGAATATCTGACGTTGTAGAGTCAAGAGGACGTCATTTTTCAATTTTCACGTCCTTTTATTCAAAATAGGACGCCAGTTAAAATAACTTTCCTTTTTACTGTAAATGTTTTAATATTTCACAAACGAAAAACTCACCGTATCTCTTGCCCTGCAGCATCCTCCACCTCATCTTCTGTGCAGCGAACGGTATCTTTGGGTACCACTTCAATTAAAAAACCCTCTGCCTTTTTTTCTTTCTCATCTTTTGCGACGTAACCTTTGCATCTTAGGTAGAAATTCGTTACAGGAATGAACATTTGGCCCTTCCTGTAACCAATCTCACCATCGGATTCAAAGTACTTGGATGACTGAGGAGATTGATCAGTGTCACATGGAACTATCCGGCTCGGAGTCTTCAAACGACGAATCCATGTTTGATCTAGCCTGCGTAGCAGGCATTTAGTGCGGGCGGGAGAAGAAAGGGCGTCGTTAAATAAACGCCTGCCCAAATGCCTATGATTAATTTGTTCTTCTCCGAAGAATCTTTGGAAAAGCTTCCCATTGGTCAATCTCGTTAACGGAAGTAATTACGTAACTCAAATGTCAACAATAATTTTGCTCGCGTTGACGCGTTTAAGGCACGTATCAAAAACATAAAAATTTAATAATTCATGAGGAAAACACAAAGAAAAATCATAAACGTGTCGTATCCTTGATATGTGATAGAGATTTCCCTTGATTTACATAAATTTTAATGATTTTCTCTACATATACACACCGAATTTTTTGAAAGCTACTTCGCCAATGAGCATATACTAGATCGATCGTTTTTGAAGCATTTTAAAACATTCGCAGTGCGTGTTTTATCCGACCATCTTTATATCTGATAAAACACTGCTGCTCGTATTTTAAATAGTACATAAAGGTGCTAATTACAAAACGTCAATCATCCTTAATGGGCGAAAACAAATTTGTCATAGCCAATTTGGGCAGGCGTTCCCTCTGTACCCGCCCGTCAGCTAAATGCCTGCTATGCAGGCTATGTTTGATCTGTTCAGAATGGTTTTAAAGGACTTTTCCAGACCGTGTGACCAGCACCGCCTGAGTGCAGGCTACAGCTTCAGCGAAATAGGAAACCCCCTGATGTATATGCGGCTACATCATTAGACTTATGAGGGGGGGTAGGAGCTGGAGGATTTCGAAAAAAATATCGAAAACATGACTCCTCAGGGGAAAAAATCATGCAAAGGGAGTGCGACGAAAAAAAAAATTGTGCAAATTTGACTTCTTGCAGTTCTTGTTCTACTTCGAAGTGTTTTCGACTCCAACTTTAATTAATCAGTAAAAATTCCCATCCCACATTGCATGAAACCGCATTTGCGGGATTCTAAATTTCAAAATTTTCTCTGGGGGAGGCCCCCCGCACCGCCCACTACAATCCACCTTAGTCAACCCTAACCTCACCAGGGAAGAATCCTTCACAAAGACTCTTTGTCAAGCAGCACTGTAATATTACATGCCATCTGCTAGGGTATTCTGACAAAAATTGCTACTATGTTATTCTAAACAGGCATATGTGATTGCTATATATTATAAATATCCAAATTATAACTGGAAAAATCCTACAACGCCATGTCTAGCGGAAAAAATATCTTACACCATGCTATTGGCCCCCCAAAACATCTGCCTTGAATAGCTTTGGGGAAAAAATTCGTAACGAAATATGAACCATAACGAAACTGAACTAACATAACGAAACTGAATCAGCAACCCAAAACACTTTAATTAAAACACTCTAAATCTAATACTATCTAAAACTGTAAAGCAGCAATAGAAAACACAATAAAGCAGCGTACAGCGGGGTAGAGCGCAGTGCAAAACAGTTTAATTAAAGCAGTTTAAACTAGCGTAAAGTAATGTAAACCAGTGTAAAGTAGTATAAAGTAGCGCAAAGCAGTGTAAAGCAGTGTAAATCACTGTAAAGCAGCCTAAAGCACTGTAAAGCAGCCTAAAGCAGTCTAAAGCAGTGTAAACCATTGGTAAAGCAGCGTAAACCATTGGTAAAGCAGCGTAAAGCACTGTAAAACACTGTAAAGCACTGTAAAACAGTGTAAAGCACTGTAAAGCACTGTAAAGCACTTAAAGCAGTGTAAAGCCCATTTAGCATTCACCATCTTGCAAGTGGGTTGTTCTGACAAAATTATCCAGCCAATATATCCAGCACATTTATTCATCTTTCTTGTATTATTAATCTCTAAACAAAAACATTTATCAGGGTCTGAAATTTGCGGTATCCCGATATCCACGGGATACTGAAATTTGGTTTTGGATACTAAGTTTATTTTACTTGTATCCCGTTGGGATACCACATTTTTTAAAAAATCGGGATAGCAGTTAATGTTTTAGTAGTCTCCCCACAGTTTTGTTCATTAAATAGTGCTGTAACACAAGTCTAGCATTCATCATAACGTTGTATTTATGTAGTCCACTCATGGTTGAATTCGCGAGTCGCCATTTTGAATAGTGTTTCCACATTGAAACAACTGTCCAGATTTAGTCTTTAAAATAATTTTTTTGAAGTCAAGAAAAGTCAAGAAGATTGTAAGGAAATTTGAAGGTCGATAGTTAGCAAAGTGGAAATACATTTTTTTTTGCTTGCCGTCATGAACTAAAATATCATAAATAATTCATGCTTTTCTTGTGATATTATCAATTATGTTAAAATATTTAATTAAAACCACCAAAACTCCTGATGATGATACAGGCAATGGTCTTGATGATGATATGGCCAATGATGATAATAATGATGACATTGTAGTTCCCGTAGTTCGCAATGCAAAAAAAGACCGAAGAGAAAAGCGGAGCGCTGAAGTCAAACGAAAGTACGAAAGTGAAAAACGGTGCCGAAAATTCTCTGCTAACTGGAAGAAGTCTTTTCCATGGGTAAAGCTGTCCGACGACAAATCAAAAATGTTTTGTGATATTTGTATGCTATATCCAACATTGTGCGACAAGGATTCAAAGTTTGTAAAAGGTGGATGTGGAAACTTGCACATAAAAAGCCTACAGACTCATGATAAAAGTGCAGCCCACCAAAAATGCGTTCGTCACAATAAGGCCAAAAATTCAACGCCCGGCTCAACCCCTGCAGAGACAATGATTCAAAAAATGAATGAAAAAGAGTTTGAAAAGATGCAAGTCTTATTTCGAATTGCTCACTCGTTGGCAAAAAAAGGTCGTCCCTTTGAAGACTTTCCGTGGTCTTTGGACCTTCACGAAGCTGCGCACAATATATCGCTAGGACATACGTACAGAAATAGCAAACAGTGCCACAACTTTATATCGTTTATTGCTGAAGCTGAGCGAATGAAATTGGCAACAGACCTTGCCTGCGTTCCGTTCTATAGTGTAATGACTGATGGAACAACAGACTCCTCCATATCTGAAGCTGAAATTATGTATGTGAGGTAAGCGTAAAAAAACAGTTGAGTTCATTTTTCATAAATGGTCATTGCTGCTGTATTTCCAGAACTATGAATACGTGTTTTTAAATGGCTGGTGTTTTACTTACGCTTTTTAGATATGCTGAGAACGGTTTGATCAACAACAAGTTCTTACGTCTCAAAAATGTCGAGCGTGCTA